ACACGGCCCGCTGACCGGTCACGGCCGCCCGGAGAGATCAGGCCCCCGGCCAATCTCCGGACACTTAGCCTCCTGGCGGGCCTCCAGGGGGTCTGAGGCGGGGCTGAAGGCTGCAGTCGGTCTACTGACGGGCCCGGCGAGGCAGGATCCGTCGAGAAACAGGGGGGTCAAGGGAGGTTTTCTTCCCCCTGGGAGAAATGTCCTATGGGTTTTTGGATCTGCGATATAAAAAAGTCTTGTCTCGGTCACGTGATGTGTCACGTGACCGGTCAGGTGAGCCTGTCAGCCGGGTCACGGCCCCTGTCAGCCGGCTGACATGTCACGGGCCTGCTGACACGGCCCGCTGACCGGTCACGGCCGCCCGGAGAGATCAGGCCCCCGGCCAATCTCCGGACACTTAGCCTCCTGGCGGGCCTCCAGGGGGTCTGAGGCGGGGCTGAAGGCTGCAGTCGGTCTACTGACGGGCCCGGCCGGCAGGATCCGTCGAGAAACAGGGGGGTCAAGGGAGGTTTTCTTCCCCCTGGGAGAAATGTCCTATGGGTTTTTGGATCTGCGATATAAAAAAGTCTTGTCTCGGTCACGTGATGTGTCACGTGACCGGTCAGGTGAGCCTGTCAGCCGGGTCACGGCCCCTGTCAGCCGGCTGACATGTCACGGGCCTGCTGACACGGCCCGCTGACCGGTCACGGCCGCCCGGAGAGATCAGGCCCCCGGCCAATCTCCGGACACTTAGCATTCTGGGGTCATTCCGCGTTGGTTCGAATGGAATTTTCAAGGGGGGTGGGGCATGGGAAACAGGGGGTAGTTATTTCTGTTTCAAGGATTCTTGAAATTTGCTATCGAAGATTTTCACACTGGGTTGAAACCTGTTTTTACATGTATTTTACTCTCAAAGCTTAACATGGAATTGGTACAAATCTATTGCAATTATAGCTTTAGAAATAATAACCCTAAAATTCTCAATCCTAAAATGTTGGCGGTGCCCTCCCTGTCCAACCAGAAAAGGAATGGCAAGAGTTCGAAGGAAGGCAGCTCAAATTGCAGATGACAGTAGGAGACATTACGAACAGAGGGACAAACGGGTTCAGCTGCAAGAACAGCCCGGAAACATTCCTAACAATGTCCAAGTTCCTCTTTGTTTTACCTACCAATCTGAGATGCAAGCTTCTCCTCCGTTGCCAAACCCTCCAAAGTACCATGTGCCCATGTGGAATGTTGATCTGACGTTGAAACCTTTTCTTGGCGTTGTGTTCTTGGACGTCGATCGTAAGGAGCGGCACGGAGTCATTAAACATGTCACAGAGCAGTCCGTAGAAGTTTACATTTTGTACAATAGGTCGATCATTGAGGAAGTTTTCCAAAAGTTGTCTATCATGAATGACAGGAGGTACACAAGTTTGCTAGCTGGAATTCAATCACATGAGTGTTTCCAGAGCATATATACAGATGAGTTTCCAATATCAGATATCGTGAGAATTTTCCATGTTACATTTCCATGTGTTTATGTTGCCCCCGGTCCTCCATCTCCTGTCTCACTTGTAAGCGTCGTTGGATGGATCTTTTTCGAGAATGTACAGCAAAAAGAACGTTGTCACATAGAATACTTCAAAGGATTTCGGTTGACACAATCAATGCTCAATTGTTATTTTGCGAACTTTCAGGACGAGCTTAACTTCTTCAAGATCACCAATGTTTTTAATGTCATACGAGAAGAATTGAAGGTATGGTTGGTGAAGCGAGGATGCACTAAATGGAATCCGAGAAAAGCAAATCGCCTTGCTTTCACCGTACCAATTCAAGATTTTACTGCAATGCTGTATTTGTTGAGACAGATGCCTGTAGAAACAAGCAAGGTGCTGTGCTCAGGAATTTCAAACCGCCATTCTCGTCGATGTGCCTGGACTCTGGATGCAAATCTGTTAGACACTCCATTGTTCAAAGAAGCCTTGAATGTTCCCTTGAAAGATTGTCCTTTTAGCCTAGGGCCTGCTCGAGGATCCATCTACCTCGAAGGCCCTATCCAAATTTTCATGCCGATCCAAAATCCACGTTCGGCATGTGCAACAGCGATCACCTTCAAGTTCACAAAAATTGTGAGGTTATCCTTCACCAAGGCGCTAATTTGGAGTTTCCCTCCCTCGGAGCACGACTAAGCAACTAGGTAGAAAGGTGTTCTTCCAAATTTCCTAAGTCTGCATTGTGAACTGTTGTGTTTGTAAAAGTATTCAGACAGAGAAGTAAAAATTTTATTCATCCAAACTTCTTCTTAACGCTGCTAAATTAACGTTTTGAACTGTGTGCTGAAATAGAGCTTCAGCAGTCTCATCGTTGTATGATTGCAAAAGCAGATTCATCAGAGTGTAAAACGATCGTGAGGCCTTAGAATCGGGTTGTCCATCGGGATGCAAATCGGAAGTACTCTTTCCACTCATGTACAAATTGATCTCTGCTACAGCTTTCTTGTAGCATCGTCTTCCCATTGTTTCGTGTCGCTTTTCGATTGCAGAAAGGCTCAAAAGTCCCAGGGGAACTCCAAACTCCTTGTATAGATACTCGAATTGTTCACCAATGTGCCCAATGAGCAGGCTATGAAAATAAAACGACTGCAGCCTCTTCACATCTCCGATCAATTTGACAATTTTCACACAAAAGCTCCGGATCCTAAACGGCAGTTGTTCAGCATCTGCCGGAGTAATTTTGTCGTAGTACTGACACGAGAGAACCGTGATCACATGATCCCATTCATCAAGGGCAGTTTTCCACTCTTGACGAGTCGCCTCGTTCGGCACCAGCAAATCTATGATTTGCGGCAAAGCGTTCATGAATCGTTTACACATCTTTCCGCTCAACTGTCTTTGTTGATCTTTGTCATTTTTCAGTTCCATGTTGACTTGAAACGACTGCAAGATTCTGTTAACAGCTGCCACTTTGCCTTGATTGGCAGCGACTTCATAAATATAATTCACCAACAAGTTGACAAATCTTAACCTCAGATGAAGTGCACAGTAGAGGAAATGCAGACTCGGGAAGTCAGCTTGTTGAAGATGACTAGACTTTCTTGAAATCTTACATAAACGAAGACAAGGTACAACAAGGCCAATAGGAAGAGGCTTATCTGGATTTTCTAAGCATGCTCTCAACTCCTGCTGATTGCCCGCTTCCAGACATTTGCTCAAAAGCTGTTCAACATGTGCGCCCCCTCCCGAATCACTGCCTTCAATCATTTCTGCCATAGCAAGATCTCCATTACCGCAAGCACTGCGTACAATGTCATTCAACATTTCAATGTCGGAAGGGAAAAGGCGATGACGATTGCAAAATTCACGCAAAGAGATCGAATCCTGCTGCTGGTTCTCCGAGAGGAAAATGAATTTCCCTGCCTTCTTGGCTTGCGCTGTCTCTTCACAGTGAAGACAAAACTTCCCGCTGCGATCGTGAACTCCACCATGATCGAGCAATCCATAGTGTCCAGCTAAGTCTGCTCTGAAAAATACTTGAATCTCGATGTTGTTGTCTCCGATCGTGATGCCATTCTTCAGAATCGAAATGATAGGGTTCTCGTACGGTTTCCAAAAATTGAAGTCCATATTCTTGGCGTTGTCACCCACAGGTAATATCATCAAAGTCCCAGCATCGAGGGCCCGCCTGATACAAGCTTCTATTTGATTCCATTCTTCGCTGTCATCGCATTCGGATCGAGGTGCGAGGATTGTGTAAGATACTTCAGTGTGTTTTGTGTCCGATCCAAGTGACTTCCCCAAAACCGTTGCATCTGTGTTGAAAATCAACAGCAACTTCTTTTTGTGTTGCAAATGCTTCTGCACTATCTTCAATTTCACAGAATCAAAAAGGTCTGTTCCGTGACATCCTTGTTCGGTTCGAAAAACTTTCAAAGCTTGCTTCAAGAAAAGCTTCTTCATCACACGGCATTTTCCTATTTTCTTGAATGGAATTGCGAGACGATGCATTCGGCCATCCTCAGTCCAGAATGTATTGTACGCACCCTTGGTCATATTCGCCTTCAGCAGTAATGCACATGACTCGTTGACATCCGGCATATAGCTTCGGGCAATATACTTGAGCTTCTTTTGAAGTTTTAGGTTTTTGCGAATCTCTTTTGCAAGGTAACGCTTAACATTCCTGTTACGAACAATCCCCGACAAAAATTTCTCCAAAGTAAATTTGTTGTTCCTGTTTTTCTGATTTGAAACCGCATCGAACAAGTATGCAAAACACCTCCATTGTTCCTCGTGTGAGCGTCCTGAAACCCCGATCCCATCCAAAAAATTCCGTAGACTCATGTCCAGGAAAGGTATCACTTGCTTTTTAACCTTCTCCAAGAAAAGTAGCTGGATATTCTCATCCTCAAAATCTGTCCAAGTGGATGGTTGGAATTCCGATGGAAATTCATGCTCTGTCTTGAATTCTTCCCACAGTTCACTGAATGTACGCGCAGTAATGTGTCCAGGAAACTTGGCAGAGGCACTTGAACCAAAACCATTGAAGAACGAATGCAAATCTCCATCACCTTGCCATTTACTGCGCTTGGAGTAGACAAAGTCTGCCTCTTTGGCAACTTCTTCCCAGAATTCCAAAGCAGGATCACTGATTTCAATTTTCTGTTTTGTTCTTCTCTTCTTCGTTGGTGGTCCTTGATGCAAAGATGTAGAATTTCTCTTGAATAGACCACAGTCCAATTGAAACATTGGGCAGAGATTTCTCAATCGTGTTGAACAAGGCGTGAATGTGGCACCCCGGCGCGAAACACAACTTTCATCCCAGCTTTTATAGAATGGAACGGGGGGGATGTGAAGGGTACAGGCAAGGACCTTCAACGGGTGGGTATTGGTCAATGTACCCTACCCACCAATTTACTCCCAAAGTACCTGACGCACCTGCTCCGTGCCCGTGTGAAGCTCCAAGGCCCTGGCAAACATGGCCCTGTTGTCGGCGTTGGCAGCGAGGGCCTTGAGCGGTTTCTTGATGCGATAGCCTCTGGCTGGGTGCATCTCCATCGCCTCGAGGATTGCCTGGATCCCACCGTTTGCGGCGATCTTTGCGCCGATGTCGTCATTCCTGGCGATGCCGGCCAGTGCCCAGCAGCCGTTGAAAAAACAGCCCCATGAGCCTGGGTGTAGCTTGATGGCCCGAACGATCGCCTCGATCCCACCGAGGCTCGCTATCATGATGCCCAGCTCCGATCCATCTTCACCGTCTTCGGCGAGTGATTTCATGAAAGAGCAGCCCTCCTCCTGCACGTGCTGGTCGCCCGGGTGCAGCCCCATAGCCTCGACGATGACCCGAACCACGCCGAGGCTCGATAACGCGAGGCGCGACTTCAAGCTGGTGCAGTACATGAGCACCTTGAGGCCCTCCGCCTGTATCACCTCACTGCCCGCGTGCCTCCGTACAGCATCGATGATTGATTTGATCTCGTCGATGGACTTGAATTGGTGCCACAAGCGGCACATCACCCTGAGGCCGTGCGCATGGACCTCTGTGCTGTCTGGGTGCTGCTGCATGGCCCTGGTGATTGGTTTGATGAGGTAGCCTTGGGCTTGGGGGGTGCACTTGTCATGGCTGTCGGTGAGCCTTCTGAGCGCCTTGCAGCCCTGCTCTTGCAGCTCCCTGCTGCCTGGGTACATGAACATGGCCCTGTATACCGAGCCGACGGCCGCATCGAAGTAGTGAGAGAGCGTGGATCTGTCGGCGTCGGCGAGGCCGCACAGCTGCCTGCAGCCCCTCAGCTGCACCTCTGTGCTGTCCGGGTGCTGCTGCATGGCCTCGATGATCTCTAGCGTTCCGAAGTCCTCGGGGCTCCCGCTGCCGCTGCCGCTGCCGCTCTCGCCGCCGCTGCCGCTCTCGCCGCCGCTGCCGCTGCCGCTCTCGCCGCCGCTGCCGCTGCCGCTCTCGCCGCCGCTGCCGCTCTCGCCGCCGCTGTCGCTATCTCCTGGCCTGTCTGTTGATCCAGCCCCATCACTGCCAACATCATCGCGTTGGCGCTTGCCGCCATGCCTGTTCATGGCGATGGAAGCACGAACCGCCGTGAACCACAGGTGGGGTACTTAAGAATAGGGGGTGGTCATCTAGCCCCCGCCCCAGGTTTTGTACCAACAATAGACCCACCCCACCCCCCATTCTGTTTCAGACAGATTTGTGCTTGCGTTGTGCGTTTGGTGCAATTCTTTTTTTTTCGCAAGCACGTGCGTTTGGTGCAATTCTTTTTTTTTAACCTTTATACGACAAAAGGCCCCGTTTGAAGTCATTTTTTTCAAGAATTGAAAAAAAAAACGTGCTTGCGTTTTTTCAAAGAAAAGCGAGCCCCAAACTTGGGTCAAGTTTGTTACCGCCCGACATGTCCGAAAGGTTCTACACGCTCAGTGATCTTCAAAACGACGAAGAGTTTTGGGAAGGGCTGAAGTGTTGCGTTGATACGGAGAACATCACGTATCAGGTCCAGCTCATCCAACAAATGTTGAAGATATGCCTTGCGCAGCACAACGACGAGGTAAAGGTTGACATGGAAGGAGGGGAGAGAGAAGAAGAGGGTGACGAGTGCTTGGAAAAGCAGAGCGAGAAGAAGAGAAAGATTTGACTTTTTTGATTCTAGTAAACGAATTTTTTATTGTTATATAGTCGAGATTGCCTCTCTTTTCACTGCGGGGATGCGTTTGCGAGCGCTTCGTTGACGTCCGATGCGTGTATCTTGCGCTTTGCGTCGACGACGCTCCACAGTGCGCGGGCGTTGCGGAGTATGCGGGGGTAAACCGGCCTTGTTGGCATCTTGAGGGCAGCGGGGATGACGGCTGGGGGCTTCTTCTCGTGGGCGATGATCTCGAGCCACCTGTTGTATACGGCGTCCTGTGTCACGTTCCAGAATGCCTCTGGGATCTGGAAGAACGCCTCGAGGGAGCCCGGTTCCTGGGGGTCTTGGAGCAGCTGGATGGCGTTTTTTGGGAGGGTGTTCTGGAGGTGTTGGAGGACGGTTGGGAGGAGGGCCTGGAGGGTGATGATCCACACGGAGTGTATGTCGATCCTCTGGGCGATGTCGAGTGTGTTGAGGGTGTCGGCGACGGCGATGACCGCCTGGGATCTCTGCTGGGGGGAGACATCCCTTGCCCTGGAGAGCTTGAAGTCCGCGAGCGCGACCGCTGCGACTGCGATCCTGTCCATGAGGAAGTGTAGCTGGAAGGTCCTGATCCTGTTGAGGTCGAGCCTGAGGATTGCCGGGATGGAGCCCTGCACGAGGTGCTGGTCGGAGGCGACGACGGAGAGTATTGCGTGGTTGAGCACGGCGGAGAATGCTGCGGGGAGCCATCCCTGAGCGCCTGGGTGTCGATGGCGGGCAGCCTGCTTGCGGCGGATAGGAGCCAGGCCCTGTCCTGTGCGATCCTCTCGGGGTTTGCGGCGGCGAACTTCTTGTGGTGTGCCTTGAGGTACTCGACCCCGTGGGCGGCGATGACGTGGGCGATCCTCGAGAGCCTGGAGTTTGCGATGTGGAGCCTGAGCTTCTGGAGGGAGTCGAGCATGAGCCTGAGTGCCCTTGTGGCGATCCCTGGCTGATCCCGAGCCTGGGAGCCCCCGAAGCCGTGCACGATGTCCTGCCACTGCGACCCCTCCTGTCGGAGGACGGTCGGCTCGATCTTGAGGAGGTTTGAGAATATGAACTGGAGGTATGCGATGATGTCCTGCCACTGGAATGTGGCGGCCTCGATCTGTGCTGTTATGTATGGGAGGTTGACGTTCTGGCGGACGAGGGCCGTGTCGGAAGGGCGGATCTCGAGGTAGCCTTGGACGATCTCCGCGAAGACGTTCACGACTCTTGCGTAGACCGGGGGGTTCATTTGGAGGTCGACGGCGAGGCTTTCCCAGAAGGCGTTTCTGAAGGCGACCCTGACCGTGGAGTGCACGTCCCTTGCGTTTGGGTCGTGGGAGTCCGGGATCTTGAATGCGGGGTCGAGGAAGAGCTCGTATGCGATCTGCTCGTTGGACATCTGGGTGTCGGTGAGCCTTGGCGGGCGGATGGTCGCCTCCTCTGCGGGGGTGGTCATCCGTGCGCCCGCGACGATGTCCGCGTCCTGCTGGAGGTCGACGACGAAGCCATCTTTGCGGAGGGACTCCTGGAGCTGGAGTGCGCCCTCTGGGGAGTTGAGCTGAGCGTATTTCTCCCAGAGCTTGGTCTTCTGGAGGGCGAACTCGAGCTGCTGCGCCTGGAAGTCGGGGTGGCCCCTGGGGATGCGGAGTTCCGCGCTGTATATCCCGAGGAGGGAGTGCTGTATCCTCGCGGTGATCTTCTGCTCGTCGGGGACCTTCCACCTCTTGAACGCGCGGATGTACGCGTTGATCTTGGCGGGCAGCCTGGCGTGGCGGAGGAGCCCGTGCGCGTCGAGGATGTAACCTGGGGCGGTTGCCTCGGAGATGAAGTCCTGGAGAGCGAGGAAGGCCTCCGCCGCGGAGTTCCTGAGCTCCTGCTGGGGCTGTGTCTGGTGCCTCTGGATGTATTCGAAGCAGACGTTGGGGTTGAGGTGTATGAGGGTGATGGAGAGGACGACCCTGATGTTCCACGGCTCCTGGGTGTCCTGGTCCTGCTGCCGCTGCTGCCGATCGTGCTGCCTTGGGCGCTTCGCCGCCCTGTCCCCGTCGGGCCCGCACTTGACCTGGGCCGCGTCGGGCTCGCACTTGACCTGGGCCGCGTCGGGCCCGCACTTGACCTGGGCCGCGTCGGGCCCGCACTTGACCTGGGCCGCGTCGGGCTCGCACTTGACCTGGGCCGCGTCGGGCCCGCACTTGACCTGGGCCGCGTCGGGCTCGCACTTGACCTGGGCCGCGTCGGGCCCGCACTTGACCTGGGCCGCTCTGATGATGTATTGGAGCGCGATGAAGAGCCTCCTTGCGCAGTCGATGAGCGGCTGCTGGCGGAGCCTTGTGACGATCTGGTCGTCGGTGAGCGATGAGGAGGGGTCCATGATGCCGGAGGCCTTGAACCTCCGCGCGTTCGCGATGAGCCCCCTGTCTGCGGGAATGATTGGGTGAGCTCTCTGCCTCGAGTTTTGTTTTGTTTTTACCTGCGACCACGCCGCGGAAGAATCGCTTGAGGATCCTGGAGGCCGAGCGCTTGAGGAGGGAGGGCTCGCGGGGGGGGACTGTGCTCCTGCACCTGCGCGCTCTCGCGTGAGTGTTGTTTTTTGGGATTTCTTGTTGGGTGGCACCTGTGGAGGCTGTAGCAGCATCGCCTGTAGTAGTTCCTGTCGTGGTGGGTGAGGTCGTCGCCTGCGGCGGGGAAGATCTGCTCCGCGTTGTCGAGGAATACGTGGGGCTTATCCTCCCAGAGGGAGTCGGGGTCCGACCTTGGGACGAGGTCTCTGCAGTATTGGCCGAGGGAGTCACCCTGTGCGTGGAAGGAGAACTGGAAGGGGAGCATGCTGTTGTACCAGCGGGCGAAACTCCTGTTCCCTGGGCATGGTTTCCCGAAGGCGATGAGCTCGAATCCCGGGTGCCTGGGGACGAAGAGAGCGAGGAGCTGTGCGAGGACTGCTGCGAACTCCCATCCCGTGAGGATGAGTGTCTGGTCCCTGTCGAGCGTGCCCATGTATCGGAGGAGGTCCTTGAATGCCTTTGT